TACATTGTATAATTGATACAGTACATGGTCAATCTTGGGTACAAGTACAATGTATCATCAAGTGTTCCAGTATTCATATAGTAGTTACAGAGTTCAGCATACCTCAGCCCAACGGGCGAAAATCAGTCAATATGGGACATTCTACAATATAATGTTCAAAAGAGTTCATGCTCTCTCTTTCACAAAGTTGACACATTGTGTTATAGTGGCGTATTCTGGCCACTATAACATCACATTCCCGAGTTCTTGCTCTATTTGTCCCCATATGTGAATGACTCCTCACGATATTTAACATAATATTTAATGCTACAACTTTCGGGTCTTTGTGAATGTGTTAAGTCGGTGAGATTTTCATTAGATATTTGTTTAAGTATTCTCTTTGTCACTGTTAATTCTCTTTGTCACTGCTACCCATATCAAATTTCTACCACTAGTTTTCTACAGGCTGTGTTTGCAAGCATATCAACAGTGTCGTGCCTTGATATGTCAACATGTGATATTAATTCATAGGAATTTAATTTCAAATCTGTTTTCTTTAGCAGCTAAAACATTCATTGGAATATCACCGACTATTTTCTGGGTGTTACTACTATATGCGTTCAATGCCAGGAGTGCACTCTGCGAGTCAAAGTATGTAAGTCCACTGCCTTTGTCTTTTAAAACTTCAGTGGCAAGATATATGCCTGCAAATTCGGTTTGAATTTTACTAGACCAGTCACTGATGCGCTTCATTGCTGTATGTACGAGAGAAGATTGTTCAAATATATTACATGCACGCCCGGTACATCGTCCACCTTCTACAGAACCGTCGGTATAGCACTGATACATATCGTTACCCATATCCTGAACACTCTCAGTGATGCTTTTCAGCTTTAATAATGTAGAGTGTTACACTATCTTTCTGGGGGTGTATTTACAAATCAACTTATAGATCCCAGTTATCCCATGAAGTAATTAGTACATCAATTGAGTTGGGTACATATTTAATATTTTGATGGAGTTGGCTACCTTGAAGAACCAAAATGCATAATCAGATTTGGCTCTTCTTCTATAGACCTCAGGTGAGTGTAGCATATTAGAAAGTTTAGCTTGAAACTTCATGTGCTGCAGAGATCTACTCAATGCCTTCACGCCGAAAACTATGCTAATGGACAAAATTCTCCCACTTATGTTAAGTAATTTTAACTCTGCTCTCATATTAATCATGAGTATGCAAGCCATATTCATGTTGCATAAGGCATAAAGCATAAGGCATACTCATGCTGTAGACGTGTGCATACTCACACGAGGCAAAGGAGTACAAGGAACGAATACCTCTGGGTAGAGGTATTCGGGTGAGTGGTACGGCAAGGGAACAGATGACGCTAGATAGATAGTGCAGAACTTCACACTGATAAAGAAGTGTGTTTGAAGTCAAAGGAAGATTAGAGTGTACATTAACTTGTCCGAGGGGTTGCTCCTGCAACTGACACAAGGGCTGATGGAGTGACCATAAAGAGAGAATGTTCAGATCACTGTCTTTGAGGTAAAGAAGCCTCGAGATATGAGGGTAGAAAATCGTGAAAGTAGAAAGCTTTTCTCTATAGATGCCGAGAGGAAAAAATCTATGTTCACCACTTTAAGAAATTATACTGAAAGATACTATACATATAAAAGTTACAAGACAGCTGAAGCCAGCCAATAAAGAATTGCTATAAGGAAAGTTAAATACAAATACCTTCGTCTTCTAGCTGCATAATATTATGCATGGGAATTGAAATGAAAACAAGAACTATCATGTAGAAACATGAAATGATGAAAATATCCGCTCGTAACATTGTTTAGACAGAACAAAGTTGAAAAAAAAAACTAATTATTCAGCAGCCAATTTTGTTTGACACTTTTCCACAAAACACAATTTCTGCGTGACAACTAATTCAACAGATGATGTACACCAAGAAATAATAGGCAAATAACCGCACTAGGAGATGAGTCGGCAGTGACAACAACCTCCCAGCGGACTCCAAGAAACCGCGAGATGCCTTTGAATAACCTCCAACATGGAGTGACAAGCGGTTTTAAGAAACGGGAGAGGGAGGCCAGATACTGTGTGGAAGGGAAGACTATATAGAAAAAAAGACTTGATGGAGAAACATTACACACACTAGTGCTTTCCCGGGGCGCACAAGACCCTAGTCATGGGATAAAGGAACGCTAAACAACATATGTTGAAGGTTGAGCATAAACAACATTTGTTGACGTTGAGCAGCTGTAGCGTCTTCAACGCCTGCATGGAGTCCCACCTCCTTAAAGCACCTGACTTTCACTTTTCAAGCACCTGAGCTTCATCTTATGAAACACGTCCAGCCCCACCTCATCAAACACGTGCAGCCCCACCTCATCAAACACGTGCAGCCCCACCTCGTCAAACAAGTGCAGCCCCACCTCATCAAACACATCCAGCCCCACCTCATCAAGCACGTCCAGCCCCACCTCATCAAACACGTGCAGCCCCACCTCATCAAGCACGTCCAGCCCCACCTCATCAAGCACGTCCAGCCCCACCTCATCAAACACGTGCAGCCCCACCTCATCAAACACGTCCAGCCCCACCTCATCAAGCACGTCCAGCCCCACCTCATCAAGCACGTCCAGCCCCACCTCATCAAACACGTGCAGCCCCACCTCATCAAACACGTCCAGCCCCACCTCATCAAGCACGTCCAGCCCCACCTCATCAAGCACGTCCAGCCCCACCTCATCAAGCACGTCCAGCCCCACCTCATCAAGCACGTCCAGCCCCACCTCATCAAGCACGTCCAGCCCCACCTCATCAAACACGTCCAGCCCCACCTCATCAAGCACGTCCAGCCCCACCTCATCAAGCACGTCCAGCCCCACCTCATCAAGCACTTAACCAAGGTGAGGAAAAAATCGGAACTGTTATGAGGCTGAAGAATGAGATGAGACGAATGCTGTATTGGGGAGAAGTAAAGGAACATAACCTCACCTCTTTGTAAGAGAACTGAATCTCAAATTTCCAGAGAGCTGAACCTCACAATAGGGAAAATGAATCTCACAAAACAAGAGAACTGAACCTCGCCAAATAAGTGAACTGAACCACACATGTATATAAGGGATCACAAACCGGCCGCGCTCACAGCCTTAAAAGTACTCATGGAAATTACCCGACTTGTGGGGAAACTTTTATTGTCAGTTTGTGAAGGAAAATGAACAAGGGAGTCAAATAGTGGAGGAAAATTCCATATGCAAATTAGATACGATAAAACCCCAAGGAGTTGAGAGGCGGTTTTCAGGATCAGAAGCTCAACCTCCTGCAGCCACAAAGTGAGGTCACACACACACACAGACACACACACACACACAGTAAAATGTGATCATCCTTGTATATTGCTAATTAGCAAAACATTTTATCCCACGTATCACGCTGCAATTTTAATTTTTCTGATGCTATAGTCGGCTGCATTGTATCACAGTTCTTTTAGATTTTGTCCACAGTGTATAACAACTTCTCACATGGTTCTTAATTTAGAAATCATCACGTTTTCAAGAGAAGATAATTTCACCGAGTTACAACTCAAGATCCGCATCCCTCCCTTTAAAATTAACCTTCTCGACAAATAATGACATGAATATTTTCATCCTGGCTGGGCCGAGCTGAAGCGCAACCTTGCAAGGAAAGAGCTCTCACACGGGCAAATACACTCCAAATTTATATATATTTTTTTTTTGTATGCGAGAAAGTCAAGAGAAGTCAGCGAGTGTGAACTGAAGACAATTTCTCCGCGGAGTGACAAGGATGGTGCTGGAGAGTGAAAGCTTGAGGCTGTCAAGCTGCAAAACATCCCGGCCTGTCTGACACTGGACTGTAAAGTGAGGTGAACACAGAATGTTTGGTAATATGTTTATTGTTTGTGATGTGTGTCTATGTATGTATTAACACGTTGTACTGAACGTTGTGAGAATAGCTTGAGCTACCTCATCCCTCTGTGTATTTTACCTCAATAAACTTATTTCAATTTCAACACAGAAAACACACAAATGCTTCCAGCTGAAAGACTTATAAATGGAAGTGATTATTATTTTCAGCGATGAACTATAAAAAGATCACCATACTTATCAATATGACTAACAATATCTTCACTAGAAGCAAGATGAAATAATTATAATTTCCCATATGTGATCATTTATCTAACTTGTATTGCAATTATGAAAATGGATCATTATATTCTCACTGTTATTAATCGATGAAAGTGTGATGTTCAGTCATGCAGTCGGCATGTGCGCCCAATACATTCTTATGTAATTTGTAATGAACCACAGTGCAGTAACCGACCGAGATTGGGAAATTATATTTAGATTTTGGAAGATTTCAGTCTTCTGGGGAAAGAGAGAGAAAGAGAGAGAAAGAGAGAGAGAGGGGGGGGGGGGGAATGGAAGAGGTACAATACAATGGTGACCTATTGAGGTCACCCGAGAGACTTCTCCCACAGCAGCCGTGACTACTGTGGTCACCTGGGAGGCTCTTCTCCCACAGCAGCCGTGACTACTGTGGTCACCTGGGAGGCTCTTCTCCCACAGCAGCTGTAACTGGTGCCTCGTCACGGAAGAATGGAAACTGAGAAGAAAGCGCTAATCCAGGATGACTCTTATCGCACTTGGGATTGATATCACATGATATCTATGTATCATATAGCACTTTATGACAGGCTAGGAGCTGTGATAGGTGGATGGAAGGATGGCCTGCAAGGTGCCCAATCACTTAAGACTATCGGGGATCGAACGCCGACTTGCAAGAAGGGAGATTATCGCTGTACCAGTCCAAGCATTTTTATGTAATTTATGTACCAATATAAAGTATTTTTTCAGCTTTATTCTCTCACTAAATATTTTATGTCTAAAGTTACGTATACAATAAAGAACGTCTCTAGGATCCACCGCAATACTTGTTTTGTTGACATTTAGTCTTTGAAAATGTCTCGCGGCGTCATTAACTACTGATGGGGTCATTAACTATTGAACGTAGTGGTGTGGAAGCTGCAGCTGTCCGTGTACGTGGTGTGGAAGCTGCAGCTGTCCGTGTACGTGGTGTGGAAGCTGCAGCTGTCCGTGTACGTGGTGTGGAAGCTGCAGCTGTCCGTGGGTCTGAGCCTGCGACTGTCGGTCAGGAAATATGGACGAAAATTTTGATTCTGTTACTCTGATCAGACTTCTAATATGTTATGAAGTCAACAGTCCCACTGTGTCACGATTGCTAACTTGCTTAATCATCTACAACATAACAATTTGCCATTATTATTCGTGCAGTTTGGAATGTGTGAGCTGTTGTGGTGATGGTTTGAGTAGTTAGTAGTTGTAGCTGATGGAACCGACTGAAAGGATACGTGTTACGGCCACTTAGGACCAGTAACCGGGTTCTTGATGTTATAACCTCTTTTAGTGTATCCGATCCCAAGTCAGTAGTAGGTTTTCAAAACGTTGGCTATATAAAGCAGTAGTGCAATACATAAATAAAGGTGGTGGGGGGGCGGGGAAGGGGGGGGGGGGGTAAGCGATACTCAATTCCCGTCACCACTGTATATTAAAGTATATATGCACAATAGCGTGTCTTTCACACAGGACAAATACTTTAGCAGTGTTCATCAACTCTAGTGATTCCACAGTCTTTGTCCAATCGTACTGGCGAGCTCACCTTCCACGTGGGCCAGTCCACCCATACAGTATCACGATGTGCCTACACCTCACCTTCGCTCACCAGCTACTCACTGGCAGAGGGCATCAGCAACACGCTGACATGGGTCCCAAACTAACTTATACCGGGGAAGCTAACCCCCCTAGCAGAAGCCTCTAGCAGCTTGCTAGCAGCACTTCACGATAGGCACATCACCATCTTCCGTAACCCTTAATAGCCAATCCCGGGTACGCCGATCTTTACCATCACTGTGTATACTAGCAGCTAACACACTGCTTAGATCGACAGCGGATACTTAGTCTTCTTTGCAGGACCAAGCTAAGGGTTCGTGGACAGCCCAAGGTAAACTGCCTTCCTCAGTACAACCGCCTCCACATGTCACCTCTGTGGACATAAAAAACGTCCTTAATTAAATGGACGGTACACTGGGGAAACCATGAGGTAACACTCTTTCACCGGGGAGTTGTTATTATGCTCGTAGCTACAACCTAGATGGCGCTGGTATTGATACGCCACCCACCAACAGATGGCGTTGCCTACATGGAGCCCAATACTAAGGGAGTTGGAGTGGCGACCCATAGATGACACTGGAATATCCACTCCACACACCGACGATGGTGTCAATACCATAACAATAAGGTTGCTGTTAGCAGCATTATTCGCTATTCCTGAGAAGAGACAGTGGTTGGCCTGGTTCTGGTTCTGGCCTAGTCCTAAGGGGAACTTTAATGAACCTAACGAACCTCTTGTACCCGACAATGAGAAACCATGGAATCATGACGATTACGTTCTGCAACATTTTGGAAGGTGAACCCTTTTGGAAAACGCACATTACTTTTTGTTCTATTTAGTATTACATTATCATGTAAATAGTGAACCTTGAGCAAATCTAAGGATTGTGGAGTTGTTGGGTAGAGACCGACGATGGTCGAATACATTTACTTTCTTTATATATACAAGAGTTCTTACATTATTGTAAAGCCACTAGCACACATAACGTATCGAGCAGGTCCTCAATCCTAATTTTCCCCAGAGTACGACCCCCGCTAAATCGTTTAACAATCAGGGGCCAGATTCACGAAAGCACTTACGCAAGCACTTACGAATGTGTACATCTTTCGTCAATTTTTGACGGCTTTAGTTACACTTATTAAACAGTTTACAAGCATGAAAACTTGCCAATCAACTGTTGTTATTGTTATAAACAGCCACCTGGTGCTTCGGAGCTCATTAACTGTTTAATAATTGGAAACAAGGCCGCCAAAGATTGAGAAAAGATGTACAGGTTCGTAAGTGCTTGTGTAAGTTCTCTCGTGAATCTGGCCCCAGGTACCCATGCACTGCTGGGTGAACAGAAACGTACAGTTAAGGATTGCCCAGGCAATCCTCCCTGGCCAGGATACGAACCCAGGCCGAACATCCGGACAAACATCAGCATACACAAGGGCCGATCAGTGATTGATGTTTCTCATCATCTAAGTTACACGACACCCCGCGGATTGTATCCAGGATAACAAGTCCCCGTGGCACAGAGGTAAAGCACTCGCCCAGCGCTTCGGCCTGAGTTCCTTTCCTGGCCAGGGAGGATTGACTGGGGCCCAGTCCTTAACTGTACGCCTCTGTTCACCCAGCAGTAAAACGGTACCTGGTTGTTAAACGATTTGGCGGGTCGTATTCCGGGAAAATTTAGTATTAAGGACCTGCCCGAAACGCTATGCATGCTAGTGGCTGTACAACAATGTATGAACTCGTGTATATATAAATAAAATAAAATAAAATAATTGTCAAGAGAAAGAGAGACATACACGTTTCCAGTATGATCCACGTTCCAAAAGTATGCGTATCAAGTGAACAAATTACATGAAGAACATATCATGTACACAGAAAACAAGCCATGTGTAAATAGAATATGAAGAACATAACAATATAGAGAGCATGAAGAATATATCTGTTCAATAAATCAACACATACGATGCATCATAAGCCCAGTTAGATAAACTACATCATTAATTGTATAAATGCATTATACAATTAATTATTAGGTATTAAGTTGGGACTTTATGAGTGGGTAAAGAATGTATATCGCAAGTTAATGAATTAAATAAAGGCATTACAGATGCTCCTGGTCTTATGACTTTACGAGTTGGGAAACAATGTATATCGCAAATTAATAAATTAAATAAAGGCATTGTAGATGTTGCAGGTCTCCATATTATTCATTGAATAGCTTTAGTCAGTATTGATATCCTACAAACTTAGCTTCTATTTTGGAAATTTTCTTCGTTAAAAAAGTGCTTTAAATATTCATTAACTAATTTATCTTAGAAACAACAAATTATAATTAGTATCTCAATGCACAATTCGTTGAATTAATCTCCAATACTCTTTTCCCCTTCAATTTAATGTATCTTCAAAATCGTACAGTGTCCCCCTAAAGCAAAGTTTTCTGTGATTTTTACCTCACTTTACTGACGCGTCTATAGAAACGGAGTCTAAAATATTCTCGTCAATAAGGACTTATTTATTTATTTGTATTTATTTATATGCACAAGAGTTCTTACATTTTTGTACAGCCACTATCACGCATAGCGTTTCGGGCAAGGCCTTAATCCTAATTTTTCACACTCACATTCTCAGGGAGCAGCCCGTAGCTGTCTAACTCCCAAGAACCTATTTACTGCTACGTGAACCGCCTCAGGGTAAAAAATAACTGAATATTTTTTTTTTTTTTTTTTTTTGAGATATATACAAGAGTTGTTACATTCTTGTACAGCCACTAGTACGCGTAGCGTTTCGGGTAGGTCCCTGGAATACGATCCCCTGCCGCGAAGAATCGTTTTTTCATCCAAGTACACATTTTACTGTTGCGTTAAACAGAGGCTACAGTTAAGGAATTGCGCCCAGTAAATCCTCCCCGGCCAGGATACGAACCCATGACAGCGCTCGCGGAACGCCAGGCGAGTGTCTTACCACTACACCACGGAGACTGTTTTCTGACTGATATTTGTTTCTGCCTCCGCCGGGGGTCAAACCCAGACCCTTAGGACTACGAAATCCAGGCGCTGTCAACTCAGCCGTCAGGCCCCTAGGATGGGTATCTAATCTTGAGATGATTTCGGGGCTTTAGTGTATACGCGGCCCAGTCCTCGACCAGGCCTCCACCCACAGGAAGCAGCCCGTGACAGCTGACTAACTCCCAGATACCTATTTACTGTTAGATAACAGGGGCATCGGGGTGAAAGAAACTCTGCCCATTGTTTCTCGCTGGCGCCCGGGATCGAACCCAGAACCACAGGATCATCCGTCCAGTGTTCTGCCCGCTCAGCCGCCGGCTCCCCCATCATTAATAAATCTCAATAAATCATTATATCTTTATCCATCTTTAGGATGGGTAAAGATTACGTCGTGGAGTCCTGGCATGCATGTCTTGATAAATTTTATAAAAATATATTATGGTTTAAAATTTTCTGAACTGAAATTTATAATTACTGTATTAACATAGTATATATATTTTCATTGTTGTGCCCCAGCATTCATATGCAAATTAGTTTTTGTATTAATAAGCAAATATATAGTTAACATCTGCCAAAGAATGTCAAGTACTATCCTTCGGAAGGACAACTTGGCACAGAGGATATATTCACTGAGAGTTTACTTTTGTCGTGGAATGTGTTCACGACTAAAGAATTCTTGTGGGTTGGTCAGAAAGCCATTATGGTAGCTTTATTAACTCCCCAGAGGTTGATATAGGTATTAAGACAAACACCAAACCAATGACAGCTTGGATAACTTGAAAATTCGAGTGAATGTAATACAGATTCAAAGCTGCTAGGCATCTCATGCCAGCTGGTCTGAAATCAATAATAATTTTAGATATTCAATAACAATAATATATTCAAAAGTTGTTTACATTGTAGCATCTTGATTACAAAATTTACTGGTGGAAATAAAAATGTTGTCACTAGACTCATTCGTTATCAACAATTCACCACCATATGTAACTATCTAATTGACTCGTGAATGTTTTTTTTTATATCTGTAGGCCTACAGGCTTCAGATGCAAACAAATCATAATTTAAATACTAAATCTCTCTCACTTTAAGTTTGTCTATAATTTCTATCTTCTCAATCAAGTAAAATTACATAACAATATAAAAAGAACTGATTTTATTATAAAAATACTTTATGTACCCATTAATTTGTGCTTGCAGGATCGAGCTCCAGCTCTTGGACCCCACTGGGTCCAAGTGTTGTACAAGTAATGATACAATTATTTAAAACAAAAATAAGAAATGTGCAACTATATTTTTACCAATATGTTAGTTATACACAATTTTTATTTTTAATTGGGATTAACTCCAGATCATGTACAAAGTTTAAAGCAATAAGTAATATATTTAGCAAGAAGTATATTTTACTACTCGGTGTAGTGAAATATGTTAATTATTATTATTAGCGTTCATATTTAATT